AGAGGGTCTAGTGCAGCCTCTCTGGAATTGTTAAAGATGTAAATTTAGTCCCCGGTTTCTTCCCTTGCTGTCCGGTGTCACAGAGTCGTTGCGCACAGACGTGGCATAGGAAGGTGGACGCTGCGCGCTGAAGCGTCCGAGCACGTGCTGTCGCCAGGCTTGGCCGCGCGGCGAACAGCAAAGTCAAGTCAGCCCTCTGCTTCCCCGCCCCGCCCGCCCTGCCCGCCCGGTTCAGTTTGTGACCTCACCTCGGTTTCCTGGTGAAGTGGGGGAGTCTCTAACAGCCTAACACTACCCCGTGCCCACCCCGACCACCGAGCACCTGTTTTCAGGAGAGGTGCCGTCCTGTGCTTGGATAGTCAGTCAGTTATTTGTGTATGAAACAATGTACAAATCAATGTTTTGAAAATAATGATCTCAACCTTTCTAAGTTAAATTTTAAAAAATTTGATCGTTTGCCATAATGGGTGGGTTAACTCTTAGACTCGCATGCTGTAGAAATGCTCAAACGTGCACATAGGACTCAGTCCTTAGATGTTCTTTTTCTTTTAAGAAATAACCTCTTTCAAGTTGTAACCACTGCGGCTCTATCCACTTCCTGTCGCTGCTCTGTGCACGCATCGGACGCAGTACAGCGAGCAGCTCTGCACGCCTGAGTAGCGGGAGAAGTCACTGTTTCTTTCTTTCTTTAAGAAAACGAGTCCTGTTCCAAATGACCGCTGTTGGAGTCCGGGGTGGGGGCGGGCAGAGGCCCGGCCTCCTCTTTGTGAACCCCTCTCGGCCTGCCCCCCGCGGAGCGAGCCTCTGCACCTGAGGCAGACCGTTTTCCAGCACAGACTTCCCGGTGTCGCTGAGCCCTGTGTTCGGCACAGCGTTTGGACAGGAGCGTGGCGGCCCCGGCCCCCCGAGCACGCCCCTCGCGGCGGTGGAGGCTTCTCATCTGTCTGTCTGCAACATCCCGCACAGAGCCGCTGGGCAGCGGCGGGCCAGGGGCCGGCGGAGAATCGGGGCGGACCCCCTGCTCCCTCCACGCCCCCAGAGCGCCCTGCGCCCCTTCACCTCTGTATTTAATGTCACGGTCAGTGTGCTGCAGGGAAGCTGGGTGCAAGGTAGACACTGCATCAAACTGTGCTGTTATTTAAGATGTAATAAAGCAGTTTGCCATGAGGGACTTGGGTGTGGCTGCTGATTCTGCTTAGATCGAGGCGCCTTCCCCCGCCCTCCTCCGCCCTCAGGCCTCAGGTCAGGCCCACCCAACCTCCACCTGCCGTGTTTTTTGTTCCCATCACAGAGTCTAGGAAAGCAGTGCTGTGTCCTCAGAGGGCCCCTCAGAGCAGCGTGGGCCCAGCGGCCCCAGCGGCCCTGTCCGCTGCTCCAGAGACCGGCCTCCCCTCCAATTGCGCCGTGTTCGCCTTGATCTGAAATGAGGACGGCTTGTAAGGGAAAATGAGCATGCCACCAAGGCAGCCAAACCTGGTGTGTGGGGACGAGCCCCCCCAGGGAGACTGGGCCTCCGCTTCAGTCGGGACTACCCCGCAAGGCCGTAGGAGGTGATGGGCTCCTCCTGGATCCGATGCTGGGACTTCCTCCTGAGAAGAGACCACTGCTGATGGTGGCACGTGTCCCTGCCTCAGGCCGCCTGTTCAGGTGTCTGGAGACCAGCAGCAGGGCCCTGGCTTGCTGTGGAGAAGGGACTTGGCGCATTTGCAGCCCCCCTCCCTGGTTCCGGGGGCCCCTGGCTCCTACCTCCCCCCCACCCTGCTGCCTGAAACCAACCTGTTCTTTGTGAGTTGCAGCATTGCCAGCCGCTCCCTGGGCTGGGGGCCCTGTGACCCGGGGAGGGTTTCCTGGGGCCCAGTCCACATGTCCACTCCTTCCTCGGGGAGCCCGCCTCCCGTGCCTAGCCCTCTGGCCGCAGGCATGGAAGAAGCCGGCCACTGTCCCACCTTAGCAAAGTGGCCACTGAAAACCAGTGTCCGTGGGCGCTGTCAGCGAGCAGAGCTAGAGTGTGGACGGAGAGGGCGGCCCTCGAGGCCAGACCCCAGCTGGGCCTGAGGGACCTCTGTGTCCATACTCGAGGATCGGGTCCCTTCTGCTCCCGGCGAGCACGTCCACTCCGCCGGGCTGGACTTCCCTTCATCCCAAGCACGCCTGTGTCTCCCGCGCTGCCTACACAGCAGGGTCCCAGGTGGGAAAAGGCTACCCTGCCCCCACCACTCTGCTCTGTCCCCTTCACCCCTGCCATCTCTCCCACTCCTTGAGTCATAAGTCCAACCAAGGTCTAACTGCCCCTTTGCATCCTCGTTGTGTGACCTCCAGCTGCTTGGTCTCTGCCCCTGTGGCAGCTGCAGCAACAAAAGCGCCTGCTTCCTCGAGGCCTTGTGAGGGTTCAGGGAGCCCCTGTGCGAGGTGCTGGAGCAGGCGTGGTGCTGGGCGCTTCACCGTCAAAGGCCGCTGCCCACTCCAGGCTCGCGGCACCGTGGGGTCCCCACACCTGCGGCTCCCTCTGCCCGGTGCCCTCCCGTCTCTAGACAGTACGTCCTTCACCGAGCGCCGAAAGTGCTGTTCTCAGCTGAACTGTGCGCCTGGCACTTAGCAGATCTGCAGGAAGAGGGGCTGCCCTCTCAGCCCCGTCCCCTAAAACTGGCCCAAACAGGAGACTGCAAAGTGGACAGTTCTGGCCACTGGGGAGGGCTAGATCAGGCCAGGCAGGAGGAGCCAGACATGCTGGCTGTGGGACAAACCAGATGACCTCTAGACAGCCCGAAAAACCTCCACGGGGATCCTGGGCCCCTCTGGGTCACTTCTCCTTTCGCGTGCTGGGCAGCCTCTGTTCGTCCCCTCACCCCTGCCTGGCACAGCTGAGGCCAACTTCCCCAGAGCTGGGAGCAGGACCCCAAAGAGAAGAAGCCCTTCCACCCCCTACTTGTGCCCTAGAGTCAGGCAGTCCCCAGACTGCACCCAAAATCCAGGGTATCCCTGCCCCCACTCCGTGAGTCCAGCTCTGGGCAGCACCCCATCAGGCCCACATGACCTAGGCTCCCTATTTTTCCCACCACTCACCCCACATTCCCCCATCCACCTGTCTTAAGAGGGTGGGTCCAGGGTTTGGGGGTGTGAAGATTAAACAACATGGGAGCCACGTTTAAGAAAAAGAATATTGACAAATACCAAATTTTGTTAAAGATTTCTGCATGGCTGCAGAAAGGTAACAGCATGGGAATGAGGGAAGACTCCACCTTTAAGACCCCTGAGTCCCTCTGAGGCAGACCCCCCCACCCTACACCCATTCCCACCCCACCCCCACCTCTGTCCTTGCGGTGAGTCCTTCCCTCGCCCAACCACAGCCCAAGGACACCTCCTCTGGGAAGTTCCGGACACCCTCAGGGCCCCCTCCCTGCTCTGGCCTCGTAATTGCTGAGCGGCCCTTCCGGGGCAATTCTCAGGGCGGGGGCGGGGGCCTGCGGGGAGAAATTGCACCATCAGAGGGAGCCGAAGGAAGCTGCAGCCGGTTCCTCATCTCTGAAATGGGGAAGCACTCCTGGCCAAGTCTCAAGGTCCATGGTGGCAGAGGGTTTCGTGATCACAGACACGCACCTGCACAAGTTCCCTTTAGAGAAAAGCACACAGGAAGTGTGATTGCTACATGACCTTGGCTAGTGACACTGCCTGCACTGGTGTCTTGGTGCCTTCTCCGCAGGCTGTCCCCTCTGTGAGGTTCTTCGGAGGACTTGGCGCAGTGCCTGGCCAAGCAAATGCTGAATCAAGCATTAGTACTACTGTGATTATATCCAAAAAACAACACTAAGGCATTTCCTTCTGTGGGTGTGGCTTAGGCCAGTTTGAGGAAGCAGTTGGGTTTACAAAACAGCCAGATGGGGAAGTCAGAGCTTGAGAAATTCCCTCAAATTCCCCCCCATCCTCACCCCCCTTCTCACTCACCCTCGGTGACCCCATTGCCCAGTGGTTCCAGGACAGCGGTATGACGTGACCAGCAGTGTTCCAGGTCTGGACATAGGTCCAGAAGCCCCAGCAAGAGAAGACTGACAATAGCTGGTATGGGCGCTGGGCAGACCTGGGGGTGAGTGCTCCATGTCAGGGAGACCCCAGTGTAGAGAAGAATGGTGGCTGGCACTTGGGGAGCCAGGAAGGTTACAAAGCACCTCCTCAGTGCGTTGCCTGGGTTCATCTCCTATAGTGACCCCGGCACAGGGTTGGAACGGGACTCCTGAGTAACGGGCTAACGGGCAAACCAGCAAGCCAGCAAGCCTCGGGAGAACCAACTTGTGTCCGGACTAGGGGAGGGGGAAGCTCCACCGAAGCTACAAGGGGGGCACTGTGGCCTTGACTCCCTTCCTCCTCTCTGGGTCCTGCAGTCCTGGCGGGGGAGGGGCGAGAACTGTGTTGGCAGGTCACCATGAGGGGGCCCCACTTAGGCGGCAGGCCCAGAGCCCCTGCGGTCCAGCTGATGTGCAAGGACCCACCAGACTGCTTGAGGTGGGCGAGGCCCGCTCCCTCCAGCGGGGCTGGCAGCCCAGGGACGCGGCTCTGCTCACACTGAGTCGTGGTTCCCAAAACATGTTCCTTCTAAGCAGAGGCACAGCCTGGTAGTCATGGAATGCTCGGCAGGTGGTGTCACCACTCGGGGGCCCGCAGTCCTCCCGCTCGGCCTGCGGTGGAGGCGAGCGGTGCGGGAAAGGGATCAGGGGGCGCGGGTGGGCGGGCTAACAACGCAGCAAGGAGAATGGATACTAGGGATCGTCGTCTGAGGGCAGCCGGGGAGCCGCCGCTAGCGTCCGGTATCACCACCCCCAACAGGCGGCCGGAGTCCGCGGGCCTG